TGCTGCGATATAAAATTGTTGGTTCAATATATTAGTTATATTTAATTACTTTATTTCATATCATTGCATAATTGAATAGATGTATATGGGAGGTTTTTAGAGAAAAGCTACCTCTCACTAATAAAGTATGTGTCAAAGTCTTACCGTAACTCAGCAATTAGTTGACAGCAAAAGTCACTAATTTTCAAAAAAAAAATAGTGATGCTTTTATACTTATATTAAGAGTTAGCTTTTGACAAATAAAAATATTCTTGAAGCAAAAGAATGACTTATTGTTTTATTGAACTTAACTTGAACAAAGTCGTGCAGATATAAATGACACTCAATGTCTTTAGGTATCACATAAACATAACAAAATTCAAAAAATTGTCAAGCAATTGACCTTAAATTGTTAATTCAAAAAAAAGACACTACACCAATATTTAGGTTTGGCATTAATTCGGGAGTAGTAAATCGGGAATTAACTGAGAGGACAGCAATAAGAGAAATCCAATGAAAGCGAAACACTCGACTAAAAAGTGCATTCCACAACATTCAAATATTATATACGCTGAAAAGGATAAAAATTTTAGTATCAAATACTATATAGTATTATTGCTACATTCAGAATGAGAATATATACACATAAAAAAATTTTTTTTTCGTGTCCCAATTTGATGATAACAATAGCCAAATTGTTTTATGAATTGAATTGTTTTATGAATTGCTTATTGATGTATCGAATTCTCGAGATCTAGTCCTCAGCATATAATAGTAACTTGCAAATCTCTAAAAGAATGCCATAAGAAACGAAATTTGTTTTGAATAAAGTAGTAGTCGCCGAAACAGAGGTCCACTTCAAAGATTTCAATGAATTTTTGTATATGAAAGGAGTAAAAATTTTAAAAGGAAGTTGGGTGCAGTGAAGTCGATGATGTATAAAGGATACATATAATATTTTTAGACAGTAGAAAAAAAAAGTTTATTGAAGTGATATATGTTAATGTATTACTCTAATAATCATTGAATGAAGTTTTTCGTAACTGGCAAAGTAAAATAAAAATGACCTATTGATTATTACATATATCATAGCTGCATTAAGAGCTTAAATTGTATTAAAATTGAATTAGAATAAAAATACTTATAAATACAGCTTAATTTTACTCTAAATATTATATTTTATTATGTCAAAACAAAATAAATTTTTTACTAACCTCTTAATAATGATTATTACACAATTAAATAAATTTATTTAATTTACATTTATTTATTTAAAAATTTATTAAATTTAATAAACATTTTTTAAGGATTTTAAAAATTTTGTATTTAAAATTTATAGACGTTTACATGTCCTTTTTTTCACAGCACCTGATAATCCAATTGCACCACCCGTTATGCCCTCACATGCTGCTGGTGGTTATACGATATCTCAGGCACGGTTAGCGGAAATACGTTCTTACTTCATGTATTGGTATTTCGATCAGGATATGTATGGCGGACGTGGCGACTATCAATTTGATATACACGCTTCAATGACACAAATACACAAAAACTTGAATTTCCAGCTGCCGTTCTTTGGTTTCCGTTTCAATTACACACGAGTAAGTTCAATTTAAATAAAATATAAATAATCATAAATAATATAAATTAAAATATATAAATGACTTTTTTTATTGCAGCTATCACTTAATGGTTATTTGGAGTTCTCAGATCCACCAGAATACTTGACATATCCTTTGGTATTCCCCGTTAAAGATTGGCCTAAAAAGAATGATCCATCCTTCATTGGTATTTGGTTTTCGAAGTGTCGTGTCGGACGCATCTACGCAACTGATATCGACCAACGTACGCCCGGTGTATATTTCCGGTAAGTTTTGTGAAATTAGTTTCCGTTTATGCACATCAAACCAATAACGTGTAACGAAATTATAAACTCTTGCACACCAGTAATTTAAAATGCATAATTTTACTTAATTTCCTTTATTCTGTGCGAAACTTTAAATTGAAAGCCATTAAAATGCAAATGAATGAATCTTCATTGCTGAGCATGTAAAGTGCCAATAATACAAATAATACATGTTCACACACATTCATATTTACATTTAAATTTTTGCAATAATATTTTGTTTTTATTTTAATATGGCAATGTATTTCCTCTTGTTATTTATTACTTATTGTGTAAAAACTAATAAATATGAAACATTTACCTTTTATTGCATGACATTTTGCGGTTTTTACTCGTTATTATTGCCATTGCATGTTGCAAATTTACAATGCAAAACGCACCCAAACTGCACTTACGCAGGACGAGCGGGTTTGTGAGCATGTTTGCAAAGAGCCAGGGTATGTAGCAGTTTTCAAATGTGCCAAGAGGGACTTGAGGGACATGTAAAAAGTTTTTAAGCGCATAAGTATTGCATATTTGTTGTATTGCAAATAAATGCATTCTAGATTCCTTTATTTTGTTTTTATAAGTGTTATGGATTATTCAGCTTTAGTTGTGGCTTCATAAAGGCAGTTATTGAAAGAACCAAGTAGAGAGTATTTGTTTAGAATTTGTTTCACAAATGCGTGCTTGATTGTGAAAATATTTCCATAAATGAGCACAATTTTTTTTTTTGATTTTCAAATATTTGCATACAAATTTAAAAGTCATAAATTAAGAATTGTCATTGCTATATACTGCTAAATTTCATTTTTATTTACATACACACAATAAAAACAATGCATGTGATTTAACAAAAATTTATTAAAATATTCATAGTTTATATATTAATATTATTAATTTATGCTTTATTTTTTTTATTTTAATAACAATTATAACACACATACATAGTACCATTGAATCTGAATACGGTAATAAGAAATTTGTTACTAACTCGTAGCCTACGTATTAAAAATTTCATTATGTCACAACGACGTCAACAGATAGGGTACACGTATATAGTATATTCATATTAGCTGATATTTGTTCAAATATTTCTAATTTCTAAAAATTAACTAATTTAGTTGCTTTGTTTATCTTTAAAATAGAATAAATAAATATTTGAGAAAAGAATACGTTGATAAGATGTATCATGTTGACTGTCTGATCATTCTGTTTTATTATGTAGAGTTACGAAAATGATACTTTAGTATTTAAATATGATTCTTTAATATAAATATATTAAATATTAAAAAACATTCAACAACTTTTACTTAAATAATTACGTCAAATATTAAAACTGCATATTATATTTAAATTGCTCTAAGAAATAGAATTTATACCCATAATAAATTAGAATTATTAAGAATAACGAAATAAACTCTTTCACTTCTCTCAAAATTACAGTTAATACTCGATTTATCATAAACATAAACACTAATAAAAACTAAAGTTAAAGTGCCAGTCTACAGCATATAAAAATCGAAAGCATAAAGGTTGAAATGGGAACTGGTATACTGTAAAAAATAGAGAGAAAAATCTGAAAAATATAAAAATACAGGAAATGTGTATATTAATATATTTAGTATTAATAAAGGATTTTTAATGTTTTAGTTACTCATATAAAAAATCCTATAAGTATTACTATAAGTACCTTATACATATTCGTATTCTTGAAATTTCAAAAATTATAACAATTTGTTGACGGATTCGAATAGAAAAGAAAAGGCAAGGACAAAAATTTTATTTAATTTAATGAAATTTGGCTGACCATACAACACTGTTTTGAGTATTGCCAAGTACTCATTATCAGTGGTCTTAGGTTATATTCGAATTTCTTGCTTTGTTTATACTCCGTATATAATAAGAAATTCGAATATTTTCTAAGACCACTGATGAATAGTACTTGGCAATAGTAGAAACCGCTTTGTATGGTCAGCCAAATTTCAATAAATTAAATAAAATTTTTGTCCTTGTCTTTCCTTTGCTATTCGAACCCATCAAAATTTCAAATAGTTTCTTTTCGTCATAAAAATTTCATAACAATTTTTTTTATTACTGTTCATGACTAATTTTGTGCATAATATGGGTGGAAGTAGTTTCAAGATGAAAACTAAATACAAAATAAATTTTATTTAAAAAATAGTTTTATATGAATTATATCATATATCAGCTACTACATTTCGGTGTCTGTAGAACGTTAGTGCAGGTGGTGCACAACTGGCCAACGTTCGACCTGATTGTTAAAAAGGATGCTATTGCAGCGTTTGTTTGGTGATGCTGTCACTTTCGTTTCTGCGTCCTGATTGATATCAAACTCGTTTGTTATTCTAGTAAACCACAGTTTGGTACAGTACGTGGAAGTCACCGCCGGAAGTCATCTATGTATGAAAGCATAAAGCTACATCGTAATCGCTCAAGTTATTTTCAAGGTTGCTCATTTATACAACCTAAATGGATTTAACAGTTCAGTTCAGTACTCGTTATATGGTGTGGAGGCTACTGTTATTATTTTGAGACAACAGTGCAATTTTCAATATAATTGAATTATCAAATTTTGCACATTTGTGGTCTGGAAAAAGAATTTAATGAGTGGCATTAAGTAGTTTATTTAAAAGTTGTGATTAATCTTAGAAGTCTTTAGTTGTGTTTCATTAAACACTTAATAATATTTGGTTAAATATATTATTTAAAAAAGGTGGGAGACAACTGCAATTAAGTCTCGATATAATATCAAGGCCTTTTACATTTGTTATTTGGAGAAAAGTTTATTGTTATATTTCTTATTTACAAGTATTTGATAGTTCCTTACTCAGTGAGTTTATTGTATCGGTCATTCATTAATTCGAGGGTTTACTGTAGAATAACAACTTTAATTTTGCTATAAAAGTTCTTTAAGCAAAACCTTTAAGACTTAATTGCCAAACAATATTCTCTTAATAATATTAATCTCCAATTGTTTTTCTTAAATCGATGTAGATAAATAACTTTTACAAAGAGTAAATATGTGCATTGACTATATGCACAAGTGTAAACATTTGCTAAAAGAATATTAAATATTTACTAGAAGTAAATATACAACGAATAAAACAAAGTAGTAACAACAACAAAAAACTTCACACGTATTTATAAGCCCACAAATGCCATCACTGAAATCATGGATAATAAAAACTTTTTGCCACTTTCCCAACTTTCGTTCGGAGTAGATGCATAACATACGTGTAAAACTCTGATATGTAAAAAAAATGAAACTTGTAGTAACAATGAAAATAAATAAAAAATTAATCAAAAGGAAGCTGAGGGAAAAAATGGGCGAAAATATCTTTAGTCATGCCAACTTTGCGGTAGTGAAACAAAAGCACAGATTGCATATTGCACGCTATGAAATAAATGCATTGGCTTTTGTCTACTTTCACTGTGCTTATACTGCTTTCAACCATTGCAAGTATAGTTATGACTATATATGAAATCACATTATAATTTTTATATTAAATTATTTCCTATTGTAAATTAATGGTATATATTTTTTACTATTAAAGGAGTAAAGTTCATTTAAACTTCATTAAAACTCAAAATGAATTTTATGCTCTTGCATTTGCCCTTTTTTTATCAGATATCAGTTTTATTGCTATTGTTTCAAGTATGAATTCATAAAAAATAGTTTATTATTAAATAATACTTGTATAAAAAAAAATAAACAGTTATTTATATGTGCGACAAAGTTTTTTAAAATTTTTTATTATTAATGTAAATTAGTTAGTAAAACATTCATTTTTTGTTGGTTACCCACTGCGTATGAGTGATTTAAATATTTAATGTACTTACGATTCGCATGACTTTTAAAATATGTTTAAAAACTTTTCTAATTAGCAGTTAATTAAAAATTAATTATAAACAAAAATTAATATAATTTTTTTATATTAATAAAATAAACGAATGACATATTATTCATTGCAAGTGGATTACTGGTGATTTATAGTTGTGAACATACTTAAGCTTATAAAAATAATATATTAAATTTGTGTTAAAAAATATCAACTTTAATATTAGTATTGCTATTACTAATTTATTAAATTTTTTTTAATACACTATTAATTTATGTGGGCTTCATTTATTATTTTCCAATGGCAGAAGTTAGATATGCAAAGCAATATGCCTGCAAATTTTAAGTTATTTAAATAAAAATAAAAAAAATTAAAGAACTGCTATATAGAGCTACTATTTTCTAAATTTATATTTGAGCTAAATTAATTTAACTATTTATAGATACTAAAAATAATGAAAGGAATTGTAGTTGGAAAAGTAAAAAATACTTTAATATTAAATAATATAATATTAAAAAATACTTCATGGAATAAAGCATTGTATAGCCTTAATGATATTACCTTTTTTTGAGATGATAAGGGTTGTTTAATTATATTTGTTTATTTAACTGTAAATATAATTTTTCAGGTAGACTTTTCTTTAACAACCAATACATTTATGAATATTCAAAATATACTCCCTTTTATTATTTTTTTTATTTCTTGGACTAAATAATTTTTGGAAATTATAGTACTGTACTCAGTGATTTATCAACCTTGCAGTTTCATTTTTAGCAAAACCATTAAAAATAACTTATCCCGTAAATCACCGACTAAAATTACAGACTAATCAATAAAAATATAGGTTAAAAAAGCGAATCAATTTTTCGAACCAAGCAATTATCTCTGGAATTTATAGTGTCATTCTCTATATAAATTTTGTAATTTTTTGTAAACTATTTAAATTTACTGGCTTTTATTATTATATATTTATTGCCATAAATGCGAAAATTTTTTTTTTTTAATTTTTCTTAATTTTTTCTTAACACAACCCAATTTTCTACTTATTGAAGCTTATAGAAATACGTTATTGTGGAAGAAATATAGTTCTTCCCTCTGAACTTTATATAAGTTTAAAACAAAT